TATATTTGAATGATAGTGGTATTCACTGGACTTCCTTGTATGCGTATAGATATTATCCTGTCACTGACAATATTGTACTTCAAGATAGATCTAGCAACGGCTTTTTTAACTATGAAAGCAACTCCATTTTTCCTCACTTTTTCATCTCCAGAGTAATATATCATATGGTCATCCGACTCAACTGTTATAAATACTAAATACTAAATGCCACTGTTATAAAACAGGACTGATATGGAGGTTGGGGGGCAACTAAGTAAAGAGGGAATAAATAATGTACATGGCATTGAAACAGATGAGGCAGAAAACTGTATAAAAGGAATACATAATTACATATTATTAGCATCACAACAGTCCAGATAAGAGCTGCAATAGTAAAGTAGACTGGGGTAGCGTGGCCTGTATAACAATGAAAAAACTTTTTTTCCAAAGAAAAAAACAAACTTGGTGGGGGGCAGAGAAGGAAAAATGTGCAACAGTGAATGAACGGAAACCCAAGTTCTTTATAAACTTTCATTAAAATCTTTAAAAAAAAAAAAAAGAGCATCCAATCAAGGCACCAAACATAAATAATGACCATGTTTCTAAAGCTCATGAAATTGTCTCATTGCATTATGTGCAAAAAGACTCAGCCCGCGAACAGAAAAAAGTTTCCTACACAAGCACCTTAAGAAAATTCAACTTTCAAATTACTTACAAAAACTATTGAATGCAGTTATTTCTACAAATGCATATGCTATGTTAAATATTTTGCAAGCTTATTTAAATCAAAACTTTAAGTTTAAGATATGCAGCCAAAGGAAAGTATACATGGCCAGCCGTCCAGGCTTTTGGCACTCATGCCTTCTTTTTCTTGGGTAAAACACTTTTTCTTTTCTCTCTAGGTCTAGGTTTCTTAATCTCTAAAATGAGTTGAGCAGACTCACAATTGCTAAGGCTGTAGTTTCCTGATTTACAAACTATAACCTCTCTCACTCACACCCATTTCTATCCAGTATGAACCAATTCATAGCTGACCCTCCAGTGGGCTTCAGAAGTTGTAAATTTAAATGCAACCGGTGGAAACTGCCCTTCTTTCTCCTGCAGGCCAAATCTTTGGGTTAGTAGTGTAACTCACTACAAGTGACATCAAAAGAGCCCCCTATAATCCTTCTTCTTGTGTTGTTAGCTGTTGTTGAATTGAGTATAACTCATAGCAACCCTATGAACCATTCTGAAACCTGCTTTATCCTGTGCCATCCTCATCATCTCTGAGCCCACTGCTAAAGTCACAGTGTCAATCTATTTCATTGGAGGTTTTCGTCTCCTTCACTGACCCTCCATTTTTCCAAGCAGGATATCCCTTTCCAAGGAATAACCTTGCTACCTACATGTCCAAAGTATCAAAGTTAAACTTGGTCACCCTTGCCTCTTCTGGCTGCACTCTTTCTAGGACGTTCTAATAAGGGTTTTAAAGCATGCTCACTCATAACTTTACAGTATAAGGCCTCACAAAAATGTGACCTTTTGTTTGTTCAGATTTTATTTTGTATTTATAATCCTTTTCATTATTTTGTCCACAAACGAAAGTACATAGCTCACAGTCACCAAAGTAATAATAATTACTACAATAGGTAAAAATACTGTACATAACCAACTCACAGATGGTGTTTCAAATAGGTTTTCAGAGGCAGAAAATCACGAGAGGTGAAAGTCCATCCTTCTCCCACAGAGTAGCTGATGGATTTGACCTTCATGCTTTTGGGATGGAAGGTCACCTATGGGTCGATTCCAACTCAAAGGTACACAACAGTAGCTAAGACTTACAGTACTCAGTATGTACCAACTAACTAACTTACACATATTATGTGTAACTAACTTGCACTCATTAACGCAGCTGTCCCTTACCACAATCCTAACAATTAAATGCCTCTGAAAACCCACTGAAGGGGTCAGCTATGAGTCAGTTCCAAGTGGACAGCACATAACAAATAACAAATAAAAAAGAGAGTAAAGAGGGAGCTCTGGTGGCTTCATGGTAAGCAACTGGGATGTCAAACAAAGGTACTCAATTCAAATTCACCAGCTGCTCCAGGAGAGAAAGATAAGCAATTTCCTCATGTGCCATTTACTGCCTCTAAAATGGAGCAATGATTTCACAAAATACTACATAACTTGGGAGAGACTCAAGAGCAATATGCTGAGTGAATGAAGTCTCATAAGGGCAAATACTGAATAAGACTATTATTGTAAAAATAGAAGAAAAACTCGTAAAACATGTAGGGTGAGAATGGGTAGGGGCGAAACCACATGGTTTCACAATTTGGTTGACAGAGGAAAGGGGTGAAGGAAATTGGAAGAATCTGGGGAGGATCTGAAAAGACAGGGTAATGACAGGTTCAATGGTGATTAATTTTATAAAACAATGCATAGGAATGATTGTATGAAACACAATGTGAATGAAGAATAGTGTGAAACACAAAGCATATTAATTTTGTAAGCAAACCAATATAAGATTTTTTTTTTAACCCACTGAAGGGTCACCTATCAACTGGTTCTAACTCAACAGTACACAACAGACAGTGAAGAGGACCTCAAGCACTTAATGTAGAAGACCAAAGTCTACAGCCTTCAATATAGATTACATCTTAACATCATGAAAACAAAAGTCTCACCACTGAATCAACAGACAGCATCAAAATAGATGGAGAAAAGATTAATGATTATTTCATTTTACTTGAGTCTACAATCAACACCAGCATAACTAGCAGTCAAGAAATCAAAAGATGTGTTTGTTTCATCACAAAAATCTGCTGTCAAGGACCTTTTGAAAGTGCTGGAGAGCAAAGACTAAGATAGGTGGTGAGCTCTGGTGGCCTACTGGCAAGAAGCTGCACTGCAATCTCAGAGGTGCGCAGTTCGAATCCACCAGATGCTCTGCTGCAAAAGGAGGAACAATCTCCTCCTGTACCAGTCACATCTGATTTGACGGCACACACACAACAATAATGAAATAAAATAAAAAATTTAAAACAAAAAGATTAAAGCGGACAACTGAAAAGACTGAGAAATTGTGGTACATTCACACAATGGAATATTACATAGCACTCAGGAACAATGATTTGGAAAATTACTAGTCTCTGGAAAAGGACACCATGCTGGGGAAGTTGGAGCATCTCTGAGAGGGAGAGGAAGACCCCTAAGAAGATGGCTGTAACAAAAGGATCGGGCAGATCACGGATCTCAGGACAGAGTAGAACAGGGCAGGTTTCAGATCTCTTGTTCATAGTGTCACAATGACACCCAACAATAACACGGAAGTGTATGAAGTGGGAGTGTTAAAGGTAGCACATTTCAGCTGCAAAACGTTGTCTGTTGTTGTTGTTGTTGATGATGATGATTACCATCGAGTTGAGCACAACTCATAGCGACCCAATGAACAGAAGAAGACCTGAAGCCTTTCTATAACTATTGTCATTTATCAAAGTTCATAGAGTTTCCAGGGGCATGTTGTTTAAGAAGTGGATGCCACTCCTGCAAAATGTTGTTAGGGACCCAAAACTGAACCTGAGTTATTCTTTCCAAAGCAAAGGTAGTTTATGACTTGTAAGTCGAGCATAAGCACTTGTTACCCATATTTTTTTTTTCCTCCCATGCTTCAATTTCATAGGTAAATAACATTGATTGTACAGGGATTAAACCTATCTTTCACCTGTTAGGAGAAACACACAAATAATAAGTGTTGTGTAGGTTTGTGCCGTTGACTACCACATGCGTGTGGAGTGGACTCCGTTATAATACAGTTCACACCTACAGTTCTGGGCCACTACATGTTAACTTGTGCCAAAACCTTCCAGCAGAAAACAGTAACCAGCCAGGAGGTAGAAACACCAATTTCATAATCTGAAATCTCTAAAGCTAGAAGTGTCTGAGGCAATGACTTAACAATAAAAACTAAAATACTTGTGCATCAAAAACCGTTCATGGTACATTTAAACAGTGAGCTAGGATCCATGATTAGAGCAGACACAAAACTACCAGCCATCATGGAAGTCTCATCCAACTACATAGCCCATTCATAAACCAATCTCGAATTTTAAGAACCTTGTCTTTGGCTGACATCCAGGAGAAGACCAGAGTTTCTATGAGCCAAGACCGAGGAAAGGTGGCAAGCAGATAGAGACCTAAAACCCAGGAGGCAGTCAGGGATCCTGGAGGGTCATTGCTCAAAGACGCCCCCAGGCTGTCCCCACAGCAGGACGACTCTCCGTTTGGCAAGGCCAAAAGGAAATTACTTCAGTAAAGAGGGGACAGTGAGCTCCTCCCGCCGAACAAAGCCACACGTTTAACTCACTACATACTTGCGTTTCACGTCCAAGGCCACAGACTTGCATCAACTACTCTTTCAAACCAAGGACTGAGATAAGAGGGCTAGGAAGGGTGGGGAGAAAAGAGGCTTGTTTTGAATTACCTCTAAGGAAAAACAAATATATTTTCATTAAAACAACCCATGGAGAAGCCAGCAAAGAAGTCTCCGCCAGGCCTGTCTCAGGGCTCTCGAATCACTTCCTCCTTTTCAGATGTGTCTCTGAATTGGAGATTAAGAAGTTGCTGAGAAAGTCTTGCCCCCGCGGGTGGTTTCCTGGCGAGAGAGCCGAGCGCAAGGCGCTGTCCGCGGGCACAGACGCTGCCGGGTCCCGCCACCCCCGGGCGGGGAGCGCGGCACACAACGCACGAGGAGGACCTGGATGGACTCGGGCAAAGAGAGGACGAGCCTGCCAAGCCTGCACGCACGCTTACCCCAGGGTGCTGATGAAGCCGTTGACCGAGCCCTCTGCGTACAGGGACACGATGTCCCCGATGTAGAGGAAGCTGGACATTTTATCAGACATGCTTCATGTTCCAGAGTGGACGTCCCTCCTCTTCTCTGCCCTTCCCTGGGAGCTGCAGAGGCTGCTGCGGAACGAAGCGCAAGACCGGATCGGCCGCGCGCCGCGAGGACCCGGCCGGACAGAACGTGCGTCGGGCTGAGCCGCACCCCGCGCCGGGGGCCCCGCAGCAGTGAAGCCTGCGCCGCAGACACCCCGAGACGTGCGCAGCCCCGGCGCGCCGCAGCCGCCGCCGCCCCGGCAGGTTTCCTGTTCCTTTCAGAAGTTTTCTCTCCAACACCTTTGCTCCTCCTCCTCGCGCCTCCACTCCCCCTGCGAGTCCCCTCCCCGCTCGGCGCCCCACCGTGGTCCGCACCGCCCCGCGGGACCTGGAGGTGCCCGAGCCCCTCGCTTCCCTTGGGGGAATTTTTGGACCAGGTGGCCGTGCCCATTGGGTGAGGGGCGGAGAATCCCCCCGGGGAAAGGATCGGTAGCCAATCAGGAAGCGGCGGCAGGGGGCGGAGCGGGGCCGGGGCCGGGCTACTGGGGAGGCCGGGCCACCCGCGGAGCCGCAGCGAAGGCCACGCGAGCCCGCGCGGGGAGGGGACCCCGGACAGCCGAAGGGACCCCTGCAGCCACCCTGGAGAGGCCAGACCTGGGGAGGGCAGTCCCGCCCAGGGAAAGCGTGAGGCCGCTGGGAGGCGTGGGGCCACTGGGAGGCGGAGAGGAGGACGGCCTGGATCAGTGGAGTGAGTTGGGGAGAGGTGTGGAGATGGGAAGGTCGAGCCGCGGTGGAAAGGGGGGTGTATGATTTGCTGGACAGAAGGACAAGAAGATGTTGAAATAAAGAAAAAAGAGGGGGAAGAGTACACATTTAAAAATAAGTACTACGAAAGAGGAAAAGCACTCTATTTGAAATGTAGTTTTACTTTCTTCTCAAGTACACAGCATTAAGGAAACTTGACCCGTCAGCAGATGGCCAGGTGCACGTGAGCTTCCCCTGATCTCAGCCGACTCAGCAATTTCTGTAACTAACCATCAGCCTTGAAACTCTGGGGAGGTGCACCTTCAGCCCCGAGGCCGGCCGCAGTCTCTGAGCCTCTTTAGCTCCTAACTAGGAGCGCCACTGACAGTTCTGCCTTGTTTACAGTTAAAGCTGCAATTACGAAAGGAATGAGCCCTTCTCTGTTGCTTTTATGGCCCTCACCTTATCTCCTCATATTAAAAGTGCCTTTCTCCTGCTCTCCTGAAGACGCTGAGGGGCCCAACTCTGTGCCGCAGTTATGACACCGGTCACCCAATCAAAAAATCGCCACCTAAATACGTAATCCCCCGCAGAGCAAGATTTTCAGAAAGGCAGAGGAACTCCATGCGTGGAGAGCAACACGTGCCAAGTTGTGCAACTGACCAAAATTTTAATTGGCTCAGAGATGTCTTCAACCTTATGGTTCAAAATTAAAATCTGCTTTCGTGGATTTAGCACCTCCTTCCGTTTTATTTTAAAATGATATAAAAGTTACAGATCATAAACTTCATATTCAAATGTTTGTGATTGGAAAGAAGAAAATAAGATTAGATAGAGTCCAGGACCTGCTAGTGAAAGACGATGTATGTGTTAATATAAATTGGATCAAATCATCTTACCGTGCAAGTGACACATCTCTTTACATTCGAGCTCTGTTTTGGAAAGTGTTAGTAATTTTAATACCTGCAATATGACAGCAGCCTCGCTGTGTCTGCACTCCTGAAATTAACCCCTAGCTGATCCTCCAAGAAATTGGATATGTAAGCTATTTAAAAGCTTGAGATGAAACAATGATGACATTAGAAATTGAAGTTTGTATCGCACATATTTGCGTCATGCAGCCAGGGAATGGATGCTCAACAATTATTAGTGAAGGTATGCATATTTTTTTTGTTTCTTCTGAGCACATTGCAACATGAGTGGGTGATGTTTTAATTAATAAATAAGTACAATCTTTAAGCCATGTACCCAACTCCAATGTCCTTCCTCTCCATCCTGCCACTTGTTATGTGCCATGGAGTTGCCTGTGGCTCATATAGCAACCCTATACACAATAGCTCTTAATGCTGTTCCATCCTGAGCCAGTCTCCCTGTCTCCGACACATCTAGCCCCGTTATCCCAGTTACTGTGTCAGTCCATCTAATCCAGGATCTTCTCCTCTTGTGCTGTCCCTCCACACTGCAAAGCACGATGTCCTTCTCCAAGGACTGGTGCTCCTGGCAACATGCCAAAGTATGCAAGACTGAGCTTCAATAACCTTGCCTGCAAGGAGAAACTTAGTTTCACCCTCTCCTGGACAAATCTGTCTGTTCTTTTGCCAGTTCGTAGAATGTTCAACACTCTTCTCCAGCACCACAATTCAAAGGCATGGATCCTTCTTCTGTCACCCAGGTTATTGTCCAGCTCTCTGATGTTTAGCAACTAATTGCAAAGATGATGGCCTAGATCAGGCTCACATTAGTCTTTAGACAGATATCATCATTGCTTTAAAGAGGTCCCTAAGAGCAGATTTAACCAGTGCAATTCGACTTTTGATTTCCTGACTATTGACTGGTGCCAAGAGTTGATTGCGAAGCTGAGCAAACTGAAATTGTTAACAACCTCAATCTTTTTCTCCATCTGTATGGTGCTACCAACTGGCCCAATGTTGAGAATCTTTGTCTTCTTGATGATGAGCTTCAATCCAGACTGAAGACTGAGGTCCTTGACCTTCTACAGCAAACACTTCATCCCCTCATTTTTGTCAATCACATAACTCAGGTTGTTGACTCTTCCTCCAATTCTGATGCCACAGTTCTCGTCATTAAGCCCAGCCTCCCAAATTGTCTGTTCTGCATATATATTGAAAAGGTATGGAGACAAAACACATACCTATGCAGTATTTTCTTGTTCTGTTTAGACCACTGCCTCCTGGTCCAAGTATAGATTTCACATGAGCACAATCAGGTGTTCTGAGAGTCCCATTCTTCTCAATGTTAGTCACAACTTGTTGTGTTCCACATAGTCAAATGTCTTTGCTTAGTCAATAAAACACAGACATTCTTCTGGTATTCTCTGTTCTCTGCCAAGATCTATCTGACATTGTCTATGATGTCCCTAATGCCATGACCTCTTCAAACTCGGCCTGTATTTCTGTTAGTTCTTTGTCAATGTACTGTTCAAGTCATTTCTGGATAATCTTCAACAAGATTCTCAGCTTTCATGGGATATTAGTGATATTGTTCTATAATTACCACACTCTCTTGGATTAACTTTTTTTTTTGAATGGGAATAAATATGGATCTCTCCCAGTCAGTTGGCTAGGTAACTGCCTCCAGATTGCCTTGGTAAGCATGTTAAGGGCAGCGTCTGTTTGTTGAAATACGTCAATTAGTATTCCATCAATTCCTGGGGCTGTGCTTTTTGCTAATTTCTTCAGGGCAGCTTGAACTTCCTCCTCCATCATCATTGCCTTGTGATCATATGTTGTTTCATGAAACTCTTCTGTGTCAGACAGTTCTTTTTGGTACAGTGACTCTTTCCATCTACTTTTGAAGCTTCCTGTATATTCTGTTCATGACATCCTTAAGAATTAACACCCAAGGCTTGAATTTGTTGTTTCATTTCCTCAGCTTAAGAAATGCAAAATGAGTTCATCCCTTTTGATTTTCTAACTCCAGATCTTTGCACATTTCATTAAAAAACTTTGTCTTCCCAAGCTGCCGTTTGAAATCATCTGTTCAGCTCCTTAATCTCCAGATTTCTTCCCTTTGCTTTGACTTCTTGATAGTCTAGTGAATATTCAGAATCTCTTCTGACATCCATTTTGGTCTTTTCTCCTTCCTTCTTTGTAATGACTTTCTGCATTCTTCATGAATAATGTTCTTGATATCTTCTCACTGCTTATCTGGTATTCGTTCATTCATGTTCAAGGCCTCAAAACCTAAGATAGTTTTTAAATTCAGGTGGAATTTACTCAACATCATATTTTGGTTCTTGTGGATTTCTTTAAATTTTCTTTAGCTTCAGCTTGAGCTGAGGGTCTCTTCCACAATCAGCACCTGGTCTAGTTTTCACAGTTGATACCGAGCTTCTCCACCAATTCTTTCCACAGATAAAATCGATCTGATTCCTGTGTGGATCATCAGGTGAAGTCTATGTGTATAGCCATCGTTTGTGTTTCTTATAAAAGATATTTGTAATAAATAAACATTGATCGTGCAAAATTCTGCCATTCTACCTTCAGCCTCATTTCTGTCACCAAGTCCATGTTTTCCAACTACTAACCTCTCTTCTTTGTTCCCAATTTTTTAATTCCAGTCACGCATTATTATTAATGCACCCATGAAAGGTCCAATACAATCTGAAAACTAGATCTACTCTTCCTCCTATATCAGTGTCAGTGATCATCCATCTACCAAAGATCCAGGCTCTCCCCTGTTGTCATAAAACCTCCATCAGTATGATCTTCCCAGCCTCCATTGTCTTATGGCAACTTCCTCTTTTCACTTGCTCATTTCAAAAGCCTTGGGGTGATTTTTGACTCATCTGGTTTAGTGGTAAGAACTCTTTCATTTCAAATCCACCAGTTACTTTGTAGGAGAAAGATGGGCAGTCTCCTCCCTTGTGATTTATTAACTCTGAAAACCTGAAGGAAGGTCAGTTGTGAGTCTCTTTCAACTCCACAATACATAACAACTCTCTCTCCACTCTCAGGCCACCAGCAAATACTGTCAGCAGATAGGTTGATCCTTCAAATTATTAACCAAACGTAACTATTTATTAATACTCCTACAACCCTGGCCCACACGTTTATCATCTCTTTTCTGAGTTGATATGCAGTCCTCATTGATCTCTCAGTTCCCATGTTTTGCCTCCTTTATGATCTGTTTGCAACCAAGAATTCAGACTGTTTATTCTCAATTGAAGATAATATCTCAGAAACTGCATTGCCTTCTCAACTAATGTTGTTATGTACCATGGAGTTAAAACCAACTCATAGTTGACCCTCTAGCGAGTTTTCAGAGGCAGTAAATAGCAGGGGAGGCAGTAAATAATAAGGGAGGCAATTGCCTATGTGTTCTAAAAGCATTTTATCGTGGCCTAAAAACACTATTGAAAAGGTTTGTAGACAGAACGCATCCCTGACACACTCCTTTCCTGATTTTTTTAATTTATTATTAATTTCAATGAAAAGTTACAGAGACTTTGGATTTTCATTCATTCATTGTTGCACTTTTCTCCCCTCCCAACCCTTCCCCCGCTCCCCAATACACTACCCTCTTTGAAAAGTGAAAGAAAAATTCTTTGATTATTTTACAATCCCACTCCCCAGGTCCATTCCACTATGCAGCCTTCACTCTGGACTCCTGTCATGACAAAAATACCT